CTAAATGGAGAAAGGAGCTGATCAAGCCTGATTCAATGGTAAGAATCTCTATACACTTTTTCATGGACAAATGGTTAATGAATGAATTAATCTAAAAATATGACTTTCAAGTTAGCTAACCTACATCCATCAAATAAAGTCTTAAATAACTTTTCTTCCCCTTCTAATTCCATCGTTTTAAATTTAATTGATTAGTTGACAGTCTACAAAATAGACAGAAAACTTATGTATTCATATCTTTAGTATATTGTTCAGTTTTTAACTGTATTCAGAATACTCAAAAACTAATCCACTCACATGGTTTCGAGAAACATACCAATTAGCGAGTCGAGATTTGAACCTATGGTCTCTTAGAGGGAGTAGAAGTGTCTTGACTATTAAACTATCCTCATGTTGACAGCTATATGGTTTTAGTTTTACGTTCTTTTCAAGTACATATTTGTTAAAAAGATTAAACTTTCCTTAAAACTTTTTAAGCACAATTTTAGAAGGTCCTAATTTAAAATCCGGTGAATCAACGCTTCAAAAGATGAGTAGTGATTTAACACAATATCAAAATAGAGGGTCCTAATTTTATGAAGCTCTTGGCAGGTCTTTGTCACAGAAATGGCCAAATGGGTGAGCAGCCGCAAGGAGGACCCCATGAATTGCGAAATTTTTTGCATGTGCTATCGGCTATAAATTCTGCTGTCTTATCAACAAGGTTTGGCATTCAGCATGTGCATTGATTACAGAAATCAGATCGCTTTGCCCTGTGGACTGAGGTGGGAAAGGGCTGCCGTCTGTGCCTTGTAAGTAAACATTTGTGGCTCAACCTTCAGTTCCATTTTTGCTGTTTTTCCCTACATGGAAAAGGATTGTGTCTTTGGCTGGCTCTGTTAGATGTATATCAATTTTGTACACCTTTTTTTTTGTGTAAAAATTAACTAGTTCAAAATATAGTTTTCGTCTGTAAAGTTTAACATTGTTTTTAATTTAGTCAAGTTTTAAAACATTATTTACGTCTCTTACGTTTTAATAAACTTCAAACTTAGTCTTTTTTTTATCTATTAATATCTAAGCTAGGATTTTCACCCATAAAAAATGATATGATTTGCTTTCATTATAAATTAACATATATTGTCATTTTTTTTTCTCAATCAAAATAATAATTATCTTGTTCATTAGATGATTAAAGGAAGAATTTTTTGAACGCTTTAAAATGGAAGGTATTAGATAACAAGAAAGTGAGCATCATCTTTTTGTTAAAGTTTTCCATCATAATGATTGGGTTTGAAATGTATTGAAACTCAAGGAATTAATCTCAATTCAGTTGACAAGGACTTGGAGTCTAAAATCATTCTAGCTTAGAGGTTTAAGTTCGAACTTTTTGATGAGTTTAATATTAAAAATTATTGATGTCTCTTGAGTTTGGGCTTTGAGACGGGTGCGGTTGACCCAAGTACCCTTGGATATAGGGGAGCAAAGCTCGACTCCAACTATAAAAAAAGGAACTAATCTAGAAATTTCTAAAATTCAAGGATCAAATAAGAAAACAGGTGGGGTGAACCTCAAAAAAAGAACTTCCTAAGTTCCTATCATACAATTTTTTAGGTGATTAAATTCGGAAGAATTTATTTAAAAAATGACGTGGGCCTGCAGGCCCGAGAGAGAAAGGTCCAGACGGCCCAAAAAAGTGGTGAAAATGAAGGGAGAGGGGAAAAAGGGTGGCGTGAAGGCATCGAAAAGCAGACAAGACTAGAATGGATGTAGACATTAAAAGCAGCTCCCCACTTGCTCCTCCCTCTTCCCACACCACAACTTCAACTTGCCTATCTCAACACACAACTCACAACTCACAACTCACAACCATTCCCATTAACCAAGTTGCACGTTTCCTTTAACACGCCATCTAAAATTTACTTCAATTCAGTCCACCTTTGACTGAATAATTTAATTACCACAAACAAACGCAGTTCAATTATTTTGGTGTTTTACGGGTGAAAAAGTGGAAAAAGGGTTCATCTCAGAGATCAGTACACGTACGAGGGGAATGAGTTGTCGAGTCAGATTTGCAGGCCTTCTCTATGCTATGTATGTATCTCTACAGTGTACAACGACGTCGTCCCGAGTCGTGACAGCCGCTAAATTCCGGCCGTTTCACGTGGGAAAAAATTTCCCATTATTCATAACAATTAAATAATCTTACCTGGGCCCCACCCATCTCCCTATTTTTAAGTTTTAACCAATAGCTCAAAATTTCCTTCTTTTTTCCCCTTCGCTTTTAATCTCTCTCTCTCTGACGCGTCTGAAAAATCCTACAGGCTACAGTGTTGCCGTCTCCGCCCACACTCCTCCGGCCAACGCAAACCCTGTGTCCTCTGCCCTCAACAATCTCATGAAACCAAATTGACTGCAAAATTAGGGACGATTGCTCTAATTTGTCAGCCCTAAATTCTAAGAACTGAAATTGAAGTTAAATAATGTAAAATTACATGCACACAGAGAAGCGTTTTGTAGCCCATGAAAATTCCTAGATAAGCCAAAGAATCGATGAACACGGAGAACAGAGAGAGAAGAGAATAATGAATTGAAGAGCCTTGAAATATGAAATTACTTAAGGCGGAGGTTGATTGCGTCTGTTCAAATTCTCGGCGAGTTGAGCCAGCGATTGGAGATTGCAGCGGACAATGGTGTCGACAAACACGGTGGTCTCTTCTTTGGTATTTCCCGGCGGCGTATCGACGACAAAAGATTCCACGACGACGGTTCTGTTTCCGCCGTCGGCCGGTGACGGGTGGAGCGTGGTGACGGATCGGTAGTTGGCGAGGCGGTGGTCGCCGCCGATCATGCTGAAGCTCAGGATGTGCTGTTCGTCGTCGAGAATCTCGAGGCGCTCGGTGCTGCAGGCGGCCGGAAGGCCGGAGACGACGTGGACCTCCCGGAGCGTTCCGACGTCGCCGTCTCCGCCGACCACGTGGCAGCTCTTGACGAAGTGCTTGTAGGCCTGTGGGTTGTCGAACCGCCGGACGACCGACCAGACGGTGGAAACTGGGGCGGCGATCTCTTGGACCACGGCGGAGCAGGTCTGGGTGGGCCCCACCGCGTGCGTGTGGTAAACTGCCACGGATTCCGTCACCGGGAACCATTTCGGAGCCTCTTTCCGGCAATGGATTGCGGCGGTGATTGAATCGGAGCCGTTGATTCGGTCTATTAGAACGGAGGACACGGTAGGTTCCGAAGGCATTTTCAACAAAGATTAAATTAAGAGAGCTTTTTACGATTCCACCGGAGAGACAAGAGTGACCTAAAGTTCGAGTAGGAAGGCAATGGAATTTTGGGTTCGATTTATCAGATCCCAATCGGCGGCGTCAGTTCTTCACGGCGGCGGTTGATTTAAAAACTCAGCCTCTCAGCGATCGATTATTTGGCTTTTTCCGTTCGGTTCACAGACGAAATACATGTGCGTGGATACGTCCTCTAGGCACATATATATACATATCCGACGAGATTACCAAAATACCCTTCTTTGTCTGACGATGTAAAAGTGAAAACAATTGAAAGGCAAGGAAATAGAGCAGGGAAAATCATATGCGGCAATTGCTCATAAATGCAAGCGTCATGTTGAATCAACTTTTAGCTTTTGGACGAAAGGGCGGATTGTAGATAGGAACGCAGTGCAGGGGCATATTCGTAATATCGCGGCCCAAACTGTCCTGCAAATAGGCAACTTGCTGAAGGGGTGCACGTCGAAGAATAAGGAAATAAAAGAGTACGGGGGAATTTGCATTGCAGCCGCAGGGGCAAATTCAGGGGCCAATTTTCTTATGCATTTGGGAGGACCCCCAATAATGGACTGAAAAATTTTTCATTTTATTTTCGAGGGGGAATAAAGGTGTTCTCTTTGAAGAGAATAGAAGCTTTGTTTAAAGTTGTTCGTACCAATTTATGACCCTTTTTTTTTCTGTGAGAATGACCATGAATGTTAGATATCCAATATAAATGATTAAATTAGCTTAACCCATCAACTTAAGTTGTTGGATTTATCGATGATTTAATTATCTTTTAAGATGGTGTAAAGAAAGAAAAAATAAAGGGAACAATATGGTGACAGCCCAACAAATAATCACGCCTTTTAATTACTCAACCTCCCTTTTCAAATTGATCTTTAAGTTTTGATTTTCCTTTAATATGAACCACATTTTGTTGGGCCCAGCTGCAGACAAATAGGCCTTATGCCCATTGGCTATGTGTTATGGGCCTAAAACTTCCTCAGCTTGTGCCTTTGTCGACCTCACGGCATTTTTCAACCATAATCTGATAGGACAATTAATTTAAAATATGACTGATGAATAACATAATTGAAATAATTAATTTATCTAACCATGTCAAACTTTAAATAATGACTGATTGATCCTCATTATCATCAGATAAATAATAATAAAAAGCATATTGATTGACTTTAAAATAATTAGATTTTTTTTTATTTATTTATTTTTTTTTTTTTTTGCAGCTGTCCAAAGCATTTGGTGAAACTACTGATGATTTACTTTACATTTATCCTTGAAAATACTAATCCAATGTTACAAAAGGAACCCAAAAAATGAGCCTTACAAACAAAACCAAGAGATCCGAGTTTCCTAATTCGATTCAGAAGACGAAGGCCACTCACCTTCATGTGAAAACTACAACCAAGTTTACACCAGAACCTGATTTTTCTCTTACTTGGCTGTTGCAGGATTTGCAATATTGTTGGACAATTATAATCTACTGATCTTTTTTTACTCTGCCGAAGATCATTCTCTCGAATTCGGCTCTCTTCAACGCCTCCCTCCTCTCCTTCCGCCTAGCATCTCTGGCAGCAGCATCGGCCTGGACTTTATCCATTATTTTACTGAAACCAGGAATTGTCCTCTCCATTTTATTGTAAACTCGGGTGCTGAGGTTGAAGAATATCCTAAACATTCTCTGCAAGCAAGGGGCAAAGGTTTCGTTACAAGGCACGACTATTGTCCCGATTCAAATTTAAACTGCAGTAACCTAGTAGAAGATTTCTATGCAGCTATTGCATATAGAAAAGTGCAAGAGTTTCATGACAAAAATATAGACACCCATCTCCATGTTCTCTATTTTTTCCTTTTCCCGTTCTCGATGAGGGGCAAAGGTGAATTTGAGATGAGCAAACTTATAGGAAATTATAAGTACTGTACCTTGACATCTTTATTCCAATGCCTGATGTAAGGAGGGCCAGTCGTGTATGTCCCTAGTGGTTCACGATGCCATTCGCCATTATATGTTATCTGTTCCATCGCTTGCTCCACGCTGAGAACCTCCCAGGGTCTTAAGCCAGGTATAATTTTAGCTAACTTGTACCTGCCATAGGCAACCATGACACAAGTATAAGAATCTAATGAAGAAGAAATCTACAAATAGAATTTATTAAAAAAAAAGTACCACAACGTCAAGAAGAAAACTTTATCCAGAACAATAGAAGGAACCGTTTAAGGAAATAAATCACCTAAGCATTTCATTTTCTGTTATGGTACAGTCTTATTTAAAGAGGACAGTATATGCATTTGCCAATCACCAATGACTTTACCAAGACCCTCTCAAGTGTCGTTGTCTTCAAGATACCACCGTGAAGGTATAACTAAAATGATTGTATTTCCAATGGTAGAGATAGGATGCTGGGTTTATGAACGTACCTTAGATCCTTAGGAATGTACTTGTTTGGCATGTGATCTGCCTCCAAAATAGATGTCAACTCAGATCCGCTGGCCCAGAGAAACAGGGCGTGACTAGGAATTCTCACTCCAGGCCAAACACCGTCGTTAGCTGCTAGCACTGCTAGATCCCGTCTCTTGCTCTCTAAAGCCTCTTGTTGGAGTTGCTTGTAGGTTTTCTTCTCATGTCCCTTAAGAGGAACCCATGGAGGTATGCCTTTTTGCAATTTGTGAAGGAAAGCAGTGGCAGCAGCACCGAGTCGAACTGTAAAAACAACCGCAAGCCAGTAAACCCCTTTGTAACAGGAACTTGATACTGTCACATGTTTATAAATCAACTAGATGGACAGAAAAGTCGAACAGGGGCCCAGCTGGAACTATAAATGAGACGTAACAAGCACCATAAGAGCATAAAAATAGAACTCTGTTAAAGAATGCAAGCTAGTCACAATTGACAGTGGATTGAAGGTTCTTTTCAATATGGCGTCAGGCTTAGCTAGTTTTCCAAGATGTTCGTAGAGATGGCAAAAGACACAAAAAGGATTTGCAGTATCCGATCTGTCCTCGGTGAGTTACTGTAGTGCTACATCTTATGAAGCATGTGTACAACTGGATGATGATGTGATAAATGGGATCGTTTGAGTTCATTTTAACAAAACTTTTACCGTTTGTTATCTTACTTGCCATTTAACTTAACAAGAGTTGCACATGATATTCTACAACGGTTCAAGTTACACTCAATTAAGCAGGTGTATTCTGCAGCTTATTCACATTTTCCTGATTTTGGCAACTGTTTAAGAACACTAAACAAATGAGTGATAATAGATTTCTGCGTCAGGTAGGGAGCGAATTTGCCAAAAAAGAGCATCTATATGCACTAATAAGTAAAAAATGCTTGCTCATGACATGTCAATTCTGAATTTGACTATCATGATGTATAGATGATAAAGGCTGACTTGAAGGAAATGAATAATATTCTAAACCGATTTATGACGTGCCCTCAATGAACTAACTGGAAACAGTCAAGATTAGTCTATAACGTGTCAATCTACTAAAAGACTAATAATAATTATTGCTCGAATTAAACATACGATAATTGCTGCTACCAACTCAGGGAAGATTTCTTGATAGCCAATATAATGGTTACCTTGAACAAATGAAAAGATAAAGTTTAACTAACCTTCCCAAGTGGCAATTGCACGCTCCAATCCATAAACCATGTGAATTGGAGCCCATTCGTCCATGTCCTCCCCCCAAATAAATGTGTCCTTGTCAATAATCCCACCTCCCCAAGCTGTTTTAAGAGTAATTAGTTCCAATGGTCCCCGAGTACGACCCAACCGATCCTTATAGTACCAACCTCCACTCCTCATGATAACTGCCAAGTCAGAAACAATCATGCTAAGAACCATGAACTAGAAGGAAACACTAGGAAACTGATCAGAAAAGATTGAAATGTGGATTATATGGGTTCATCAAACACTGTAAAAGTAAAACTCATGACAAAGTAAAGTGCCCATCTAAAATTTTTTAAGTTTTAGCACCAAAATGATGCAGTGAAGATCTAAGAAACATGAGCAGAAGCAGAACTTGTATGAACTCATATCATGATGAAATTCAGATATCTCATATCAGTTTGGCCTCATCAGCTGAATTTTAGCTTAAGGAAAAGATTTGGCAAATGGAAAACAGAAGCACATTCTTCAAATAACACGCCAATTTAGACTTACAATCATAGTACCGCTTCTCGAGCCGCTTATACCCAATGGCCTGCGCAACATCGATCGGGCGACCAGGTGGATATGGTCTCTGCCGGAAGCCCCACAGCCCAAAAAAGAACTGTCTCGCAAAATCCCAAAATTTGTCTTCGGATTCCCTCTTCGTCTTAATTGCTTTCCTCGGCATAGGCCGCCCGTCAAGCCCAGGCACATGAGGAATGGCCCTCCATAGCTTCTTGTCCTCATCTCTGTATGGATTCTCATTCTCCTTCAGCTCTAACTCGTTGTATTTGGCTGCAATTTCCTCCGCACGTTCCAGGAATTGCACAACAGGGCTGGCTCGCAACGCTTTCCATAGCTTCTCGTTCTTTTCGACCTCCTCTTCGCTTGGATTCTCTTTATTATCCAGTACAGGATCTTCGTTCAAGATTTTCTCCACCTCGGGGGTGTGTCTGTAATCGGGTAAGTTGTCGCATTCCCAGAAGAATTGCTCTAGCATTTTGCCGTAGTATCCTGGTTCGTCGGATGCTTTCTTTGGTTTCTGCGACTTCTTGAAGAAATTCGAGAGGCTCGTAGAAGCAAAGTTTGGGGACGTTGAGGATTTCTGAGACAACGAGTCTCTAAATGCAGTGAGATTGAGGGGAGGGATGGGATTAGGACGTCTGGAGAACCAGTTTTCGAAGGGATTGAAGTTGATTGACGCCATAACTGAGATAGACTCAAGTCTCAAGAAGGCTGATCAAACAGTAAAATGCTGAGACTTCGAGAAATTAGAGAGTAGGGTTTCGGACTGAAGCAGAAGCTGCTGGAGCAGGCTGAAAATGGAGGACCGGCGGAGGAGTCGGAGAGCGGGACATGGAGGTGGAAGGACGCGAGTGGATAGAAACACTGAAATTGGGCCACAGAAGTGGGCTGCAGGAATAGAAATCGATAAAGAACTGGTATTGGGCTCCTGAGAAATGGGCCTACGTCAAATTAAAATGGGTCAGTCATTTACAATTGGGCTTACTCCCAACCTGAAAATTATTTTATTATTTATTTATTTATTTAGAAGGTTAGATAACATTAATAAATAAATGTTATTTGAATAGTTATTAGATTTGGATTATAATATAATTTAAGATCGGGGATATAGTTTATAGTTACCTTTCATATTTCAAATATTATTAGATAATATTATTTACGACATTTTGTAGCTTTTACAATATTGATTATTGATTATGGGTTGTTGGTTGTTAGATTTGGCATGGACTACAACATATTGCAACTTCTACAATATTGTTGTTGGTTGTGAGATGCTGTGGTAGAGATATCTTTTTTTTTTTTCATTATTAGGCTCTGATGCTGCCAATAGTCACATATAAACTCAACTTATTTTATTTATTGTCTAACTTCTTTCATTTCTATCGGAGATCCATATTTGATTTGATCAAAAATGATTATCATTTTTGTATCTTCAATTCAATATATAGACATATATATCTGTTCCTCTTTCTATTATTTTTCCATGCAATTTTTAATACTTAAACAGTGATTCTTTTTTTCGTCTTAGCTTCCACCATTCAAAATGAAATCAAAGTCCTCCCTCTTTAAATGAATGGAATTTTCATTGAATATATATATTTGTTAGTACAATATGTGTGATGATGGATCGAACTCACAACCTTGGAGATATATATCAATTATCTCTAAACTATGTTCAGTTAAATATACTTTTAATGTTATTTGATCTCCTTAATTTTAATATATTTATAATTAAGTGTTTCATGAGAACTCTCTTCACTCGGAACATTAGACCTAACACGTCCTCACCACATTATCTTCCTTGAAAGTTGAAATTGATATAAAATTAGAAATATCGCTACATTGGAATATTTGATCAAAAGAAAAAAAAATCAAAGGAAGACTTGAGCCTTGTCAACCAATGTTGGCTGAAGTCTCGATGCTTAGAAACTTCAAACTCTCTTCTCCACCACATCTCCGAGAGCAATTTTGTCTTTAGTTCAAATTCTCTTGAACTTTCCTCTTCGATTTTCTATGAGGCACACCCAATTAATTCATGTGATTTAATTTCAATTAGTCTCCCACGTCTCGTGACAATTTTTTATTCGTCATTTTCAGCATTTATTGATCCATGTCTCGGTATTCAAATTATTGAAAATTACTCTTCTTTGACAATGGCCCTGCATCTCTTGCATCCATGGAAAGTTTATGCCAATGGTGGTGGTGGTCCTGCAGCTCTCACATCTTCCTGACAATTTCCATTTCCAAATCTACATCTCACTATTTATTTGTTAGCGTTTCTTCATAGGGGGATGAGTACATAAGAAATTATTGTTTTCTTCTTCTTTTGATATAAGCCTCCTCAAATGGCTATGGCAGCTTCTTTAGCTAGCCTTTTGATATTACGTTTCTGTATTGTTCCTCTTTTTGTTCAAGCCAATTCATTTGTCTACCCTGGATTCAATGATTCAGATCTGGTCCTTAATGAAGGAGCTTCAATTGTAAAGCCTTCTGGCTTATTGATGCTAACTAACAGCTCGCCGTTCGTTATGGGGCGTGCTTTCTTTCCTAAGGCCGTCCAGATGTTTGATAATAGTTCTGAACCAATTTCGGAAGTTTCCTCTTTCAGCACAACTTTTGTGTTTGCAATAGTTCCATCAAGCTCCGGTGCACCAGTTGGGCATGGCCTCGCCTTTGTTATGGCTCCATCGACCCAATTTCCAGGTGCTCAAAGTGAACATTACTTGGGATTGTTCAACACCTCCAACAATGGCGACCCTTCGAATCATATTCTCGTGGTCGAATTCGATACGGTTAATGGGCACGACGACCCTAAAAATTCGGATGGAAACCATGTCGGAATCAACAAGAATGGTGTGCGCTCAAATGCATCAGAATCGGCTGAATATTCCAACTCTGGCTCTGATGTGAAGCCTGAGGTGAATATGGGTAGTGGTGATCCAATCCGAGCTTGGATTGAATATGATCGTCTTAGAAAGCGTATGAATGTTACAATAGCTCCCGCAAATGTGAAGAAACCAAATGAGACATTGTTTTCACATCCCATAAACTTGACTGGAGTTGTAAAAGAGAGAATGTTTGTTGGCTTCTCTGCGTCAACGGGCCAAGAAACAAGCTTCCACTACATTTTAGGATGGAGTTTTGCAGTTAATGAACCAGCACCTGAGTTAAATGTTTCTCAACTTTCGGTACCACCGATAGTTAACAGTTCACCGTCGTCGACATTCAATCCTCTAGTCACTGTTCTGTTACCTATATTATCTGCTACGTCATTTATGGGAATTTTGATTTTATTTGCCATATTCAGAAGAAGATTACAAAGGGAGAGCCTTGAAGAATGGGAAAGAGATTGTCCTCACAGATTTAGTTATTCAGATCTCTATAAAGCAACAAGAGGATTTAGAGACTCAGAGTTAGTTGGATCAGGAGGCTTTGGCTCAGTATACAGAGGCGTCTTACTTTCCACCGGAAGTGAAGTTGCTGTAAAGAAAATAACAAGAAATTCGAGTCAGGGAATGCGGGAGTTCGCTGCCGAGATCGAAAGCTTGGGACGACTAAGACATAAGAACTTGGTAAATCTCCAAGGATGGTGCAAGAAACAGAATGACCTCCTCTTGGTTTATGACTATGTTCCAAATGGGAGCTTGGATTCTCTCCTTTACCATCCAAAGGACAACTCTGTACTGAATTGGGAACAAAGAATCAACATCGTCGAGGGTATTGCTGCTGGACTGTTGTATCTACACGAAGAATGGGAGCGCGTAGTTATTCATCGAGATGTTAAGCCAAGCAATGTCTTGATAGATATTGACATGCATGCTCGACTAAGCGACTTCGGTCTCGCTAGGCTATACGACCATGACCAAATTTCGCATACAACTAGTGTCGTCGGCACGATTGGCTACATCTCCCCCGAGTTGGCTCGCATGGGAAAAGCATCTAAAACTACAGATGTGTTTGCCTATGGAGTCTTACTCCTTGAGGTGGCCTGTGGAAGAAGACCTCTAGAGTCAGATCTGTTCATATTGGTGGATTGGGTAATGGAATGCCATGAAAGAGGTCAAATTCTTGAAGCAGCTGATCCAAAGTTGAATTCAGTTTATGATGTGGTTGAAATGGAGATGGTGTTGCAGCTTGGGCTACTTTGTTCCCATCATAGCCCTGAAGCTAGGCCAAGCATGAGGCAAGTCACAAGATATCTTAATGGAGAAGACCAAATTCTTTCCATTGATCCTTCAACTTACTCTCAAGTTACCTTCCAATCTAACTCAGGATTCACTCAATTTATCCCACCTTCTTTGCAATCTTCATCCACTAGTTTCATCTCTTCAACTTCAATAGATGTAGGTAGATAAACAATTTACTTATTTTATTTACTTTCTCTGATTATGAGTTGATGAATGTACACCCCGGGGCAAACTCTCTGAGTGGGGACATCATAATTTATATCGTAGCATAAGAATATTTTTCTTTTTATATATAAATGTACACCCGTCGTTTTAAAAATTACATTCTTAGTATAAAAAAATCAAAGTAAAGAAAATTAAACTATTAAATATCAAACAGTGGCGTTTTTCAATTCACATCTAGAAGTCTTCTTGGATTCCATTAAGAAAATTAAAATTTCAGATATCAAATAGTCAAAATATCCCAATTTAAGGGGACCATCTCTCTAATTGCTAGTAACTCAAGGTCAAGAGGTAGCTCTATTTATAAACCAAGTAATTTCCAATAATATCCCTTCACTCCATATTTTCAACCTTACTTTTTGGGGTTCAAAATTGTCAACTAAAATGGCCCATAACACAAAGCAAAATTACCAAAAGGGGCATGAATTAAGAAGAATCCCTAGAAGGCTGGAAATAATGATCGGGAGTCTAAGCTTAATTCTTCTTTACTTTGTTGACAAAGTGGTGGATTTTGAGAAATTAAAATATTAAATTACAATCGTTCAAGCTTTTTAAGAAATAATTATGTTACAATGATAACATGATTTCATGGCTAATAAAATACTCTGTTTTCAAAGTCTTCCTTTTCCCGTAATTAATAATGTATGAAGTCAACTTTTTCTGTTAAATTTTTCCAATTGAACAAAATATATATATATATATAACCGTGTGAATACAACGACTTGAAGTTTTTCCTTTTTTCTAACTATATTATTTCACATAATTATATACGTGACTTTAGAATTTTAATATTGTGATCCATCGGTCTTCAAAATAATAAAAATAGTTAAAAAATTCCAACTAAAATCAAATAAGATGATTAATAGGAAAGTGCAAATGGGCTCTATGAGAATTGGGTAGCTGCACGAATATATTTTTTTTTCTATTATTGAACAATAACATTTGCTGACAATAATAATTGACATATTATTTAAGAGGTTATGAGTTCGATATTATACCCTCACATTTTGTATTAAAAAATATATATATTTTTATTATCTTTTTTAGTACTACAAATGTAAGGATAAACGATCGAATCTTGGACATCAAAGAAATGAGTAAAATGCTTTAATCACTAGCAAATGAACAAAAATTTAAAAAATGTATGAAAAAAATACAGAATATGCAAAATTTTAAACCAAAAAAAGTAATAAAATTTGGGACAAAAATCATCTCTAAGTCCACGTAAGTTATATTGTCAATAATATCATTTATGTTTAAATTTTGAAAGCCGAAAATCTAGAAAGATTTGTTTTTGAATGACAATGGTAGGACAAAAAAAGAACAGGCTATCCACAATTCAATTGGCCATATTTGAGATATATGAAAGTTTTGGCTATTGTTTATTTTACCACATTAATTCCATCATTTACAATTACATATAAAAGATATTAAAATTTTATTTAAAATTATAATTAAAAAAAGAGTCAATGGTGACGGGACATTAATAAATTCTGCAAGCACGTGTCTCCAAAATATGACTTTTTAATTTGAGCTAAATTTCTGTAGCATGATGTCAAGTTTACGTAGTTTATGTGTGATTTATACGTTTGCAAATTTAAAATATGATTTTTTTTTAATTCAACTATACGTAGGATCGAGATTCAAACTGTTTGATCAGTTATATATTATTTAATCAGTTGAAATGGAAATTCAAACATTTTGATCAGTGATATATTACTTAATCAATTGATTAATGTATTGGTATAAAAAAATAGTCGGAATATAGAAGTATATATTTCATAGTCTACGTTTATAGTCCACAAATTTTCAATTATTTTATTTTGATTCTCAAATTTTTAACTATTTTTATTAGATATTCAATAAATGAATTAAATTTTCTCAACCCATCAACTTAAGCTTTTGGTTTGTGATGATATTAGAGCGGAAAGTCCTGTGTTCGAATTCCTGCATAGTCGTTTCCTCCCCATTTTATATTGATTTCCACTTGTTGAGTCAGACAAGTAGGCCTGGTGCAGGTGAGTAGGTTAGATTTTGGCTAAAGGCCCGTTTGCCTATTAGGTAGGTTTTGTCCTTATTTTGTCCATTGACCTATTTAAATATTCCTACTAAATTATTACTTATTAATCTAATTAATTAATATATTAGATCAACATCTAAAAACAGATTATAACTAAACAATAACTAGTACTCATTCTAGGTCGAAAGTTCAAAACTTCATATCTCCAATTTATTGTACTTAAAAAAAGGTCAACATTTAAAGAGTGGTATCAAATGGAAGGAACTGATTATGAATTAAAAATTGATTCTATTATTTCAATCTCGACGATTGAATAATAATATGTTATTATGATTTCGAGAAAGTCGCTATGGTGAAATCGGTAGACACGCTGCTCTTAGGAAGCAGTGCTAGAGTGAGTCCGAATAGCAGCATGACATTCTTTATTATAAAAAAAAGTTCTATAATATAATTAATTCAAATCTAATATATTAACTTAAATAAAAAGTTCTATAATATAATTAATTCAAATCTAATATATTAATTTAAATAAAAAGTTCTATAATATAATTAATTCAAGTCTAATATATTAATTTAAATAATTGAATTGAAGAAACTTTTTTAACATTTTCTTTGTGAAATTTTCAACTTTAGATTTTTTGGTCATTTCAATGGTCATTACAATTCATTTGACAACTTTATTAGTCGATGAAACCGTAGGACTTCATGTTCGTTAGAAGAAGATATGATAGCTAATTTTTTTTTTCTGTATAACAAGATTAATAGTTACTCGTTAGATTTATTTGAGAATCAATTATTGTCCTGACCAAAACTAAATAGAACCAAAACCCAAAATTTAGTGATGCAGGTAAAAATAATGTTTTAAGGGCTTAAATAGATATGCAAGTTCATAATTACAATCATGATTTGACTAAAACGGATTATTGTGTAAATTTACCATTAATTGGGGAGACAGAGGGAAGGAAACGGTCTGATGAGGAAGGAAGTCACTACGCAACTGAGCGTTGAAATGTAACGGTCTGATGAAGATTGAGGAGCGAGTCATCACTACGCAACTGAGTTTTTTGCCTCTGGCGGCCCTTGAATGAATCTCATCTATATATTCATTGCATTAACTTTCTTCATTTTTGTTGGAAACGAATGGGTGGCACTGCCATTAGCATTTTTTTGCTTTGGACTTCAGCCTCTGAAATTTCAAACTTTCCCCATCAAACCATTTAATCTCCCATTCCCATTCCCAATGACTTTGCTCTACTCCACATCTCAAATCAATGACTCTCTCAAACCCTCCAACCATGGAGTTTCCCCTCCAATTGACCCATTCCATATCTCTTCTCTATATTAACAATGGAGTTCAAAAACTGACCCATGTGTTCTTCTCTGGAGCTTTGTTTTCTTACCAAAGTCTCGCATGGCTGTTGCAGCACGTTTAGCTCTTCTTTCTGTGTTCCTCTCTTTGGCTGCTCATTCGGCGCAGTCTTCATTTCCCTACCATGGATTCAACGACACAAGCTTTGATCTTGATGGTGGAGCAACCGTTGTGAAACCATCTGGTGCGTTGAGGCTCACCAACAGATCACAAAAAATCATCGGCCACGCATTCTATCCAATTCCGTTCCGGATGTTTGATGAAAGTTCCAACTCATTTCGGAATGCTTCGTCTTTCAACACAAGTTTTGTGTTTGCAATCGATCCATCGAGTCCCGGCCAAGGGGGCTACGGCTTGGCCTTCACCTTAGCTCCATCAACCCAATTTGCAGGTGCTGAGAGTGGGCACTTCCTTGGATTATTCAACCATTCCAACAATGGAAGCTCTTCCAACCATATATTTGCTGTTGAATTTGACACTGTTAATGGGCAAGATGAAGGAGAGAACAGCAAAGGAAACCATGTTGGGATCAACATCAATAGCATTTCATCTGTTGCTTCCAAACCTGCTGGTTATTCCAACTATGGCAATCCTAATAACGGCGACTTTCAAATCGATTCTGGCAATCCGATTGTCGTTTGGATTGAATATGATGGCCCCAGAAGAACTGTGAACGTCACTATAGCTCCAATGACCAAGCAAAACCAAAAACCAACAGAGCCACTCCTTTCGCATCAGATTGACCTGACTCCTTTTCTAAAGGAACAAATGTTTGCTGGCTTCTCGGCATCGACTGGAGATAAAACAAGCTCTCATTACATTTTGGGATGGAGCTTTGCAGTGAACGGATCGGCGCCGCCCCTGAATCACTCTCTTCTTCCCAACCCACCAAAAGAGCAAGATCCTCCTCCTTCACGCAATTCCCACTTAAAGGTACTTTTTGCAGCTTTATCTGTGGTGGCCATTATAGGAGTGCTTTTCTTAGCTTTCTGGTTCAGAAGAATGTGGCAAACTGAGAGCCTTGAGGATTGGGAAAGAGATTGTCCTCACAGATTCAACTACAGAGATCTTTACACAGCAACAAAGGGATTTAAAGACAGCGAGCTAATTGGAATTGGGGGGTTCGGCTCAGTATACAAGGGCCACTTACGTTCAACTGGAATTGAGATTGCTGTGAAGAGAGTAAGAAGAAACTCAAAACAAGGAATGAAGGAATTCGCAGCAGAAATCGAAAGCTTAGGACGATTAAGACACAAAAACTTGGTTAATCTTCAAGGATGGTGCAAGAAACAGAACGATCTACTCATAGTTTACGATTATATTCCAAATGGATGTCTCTATTCGCTTCTATATCATCCAAAAAACAACTACATATTGAATTGGAAAGAAAGATTCAACATCCTTAAAGGAATTGCCGCAGGATTATTGTACCTTCACGAAGAGTGGGAGCAAGTGGTGATCCACCGAGATGTAAAGCCAAGCAATGTTCTAATCGACGGCGACATGAATGCACGATTGAGCGATTTTGGCCTGGCCAGGCAATACGACCACAACGAAGTATCGCACACGACCGGCGTCGTCGGCACCATCGGCTACATAGCGCCGGAGTTGGTTCGCACAGGGAAGGCATCGAAGAGCACCGATGTGTTCGGCTATGGAATTATGCTTCTGGAAGTGGCGTGTGGGAGAAAGCCTCTGGAACCGGAGCAGTTCATATTGGTCGATTGGGTGATGGAATGCTACGAAACTGGAGGAATTCTTTACGCTGCTGATCCGAAGCTGAATTCAGTGTATGAGATTGAGGAGATGGAGATGGTGCTGAAATTAGGGCTTCTGTGCACTCACCAGAGACCAGAAGCTCGGCCGACGATGAGACGGGTCACGAGATTTCTTCACGGCGACGATCCACTTCCGGCGGTCGACGGCTGGGATTGTTCTCAGAGTTATTACGGATCTAACTCCAGAACGACTGAAGTCATTTCAGCAATGTCTTATCGCTCATCGTCCATCGGCGCAATCTCGTCTGGCTCCATAGACGCTGGCAGATAATTTACCATTTTCCTCTTTTATTTTTCTTCTTTAAATGTTCATTCATTTTTATCTTTATCATTGTAACCTAGTTGTTCAACTTTGTACAGAGACGATCATCAGAAATTTGAAAAGGTTACTGTTCAAAAAAAGAAATTTGAAAAGGTTGTTAGATATATATTTTTTAAATCTGAGCTGTTAAGTATCTTTACACCTCTTCTACAGGTTGCAATTTCTACTCCAATAGTGTAATATTTAAAAAATAGGGTAAAATAATTTTGCTTTTACCCTTCAAATTTTGGTTAATGTCTATTGGTCTATGAGATTTCAAAAGAAATTTATGTTAATATCTTCTATCGAAAATAGATACTAATTAAACTCATGTTGACTAATCAAATTCAGATAATCATAATTTAATCGATAAATAAAAGATTTGAAATTTCAAGGACCAAATAGGCATTAAATTCAAATTTTAAGTACAAAAGT